TAAAATTAGGATATGAACTTAGAATATAGGTTCCCTTACTGACAAATTAATGGAGTTAATAAATATTATGATTCATAGGAAGATAAATATTCTGGAAGATAAATAGTCTATGCATTCAAGAAATTAAATGAGTTGGAGAGAAGATTAAAGAGATTGATAGTTTATGATTTAAACTATAGTATTCTGGTAGGAGTCGTACTAGAAATGATGTTGGTAGAGAGGTAGATGAATTTAAAAGTACATGGTGGCTATGAGTTTGGAGCTACTAATGAAGGTGATAATACTATATTATATTTGCTAAAGCTTATGATTTAATGGTTGAATGAAAATGAGAGTTTGGAAGATACTGTTATAAAAGTTATTAGAATTAGAGATAAAATTATAGCCTTAAAGATTGTTATTGATGCTAACATTATTAACATTATAAGTACTTTTGCTACTCAAGTGGGTTTTGATATGTTTTCAAAATTAAAATTATATAATGACTTAGAAGAATTAATACAAAATATATCTCTTGATGATTTTTATTGGAGGAGATTCAAATGGATATGTTGGTAGAGAGGTAGATGAATTTAAAAGTACATGGTGGCTATGAGTTTGGAGCTACTAATGAAGGTGATAATACTATATTATATTTGCTAAAGCTTATGATTTTATAATTACAAATATCTTATTTAAGAAAAGAGACGAACATCTCATCACTTATAAGAATTAATATAGTAAAACTCAAATTTATTTCTTATAAGAAAAATAGATTGTTTAGATTATAAAGATTGTAAAGTTATTCCGAGTAAAAGTTTATTTACCCAATATCGTTTATTAGTTTTGAACTTTAAGATGAATGGGTGAAATATAAAAAATAATGTAAAACATTGTTCTAGGATTAGATAAGGGCATCTAAAGAACACAAACAAAAATATTTTTAAGTTTAAGATTTGAAATCCTAAGATTTTGTCTGTGCATGAGGAAATTAATGCTATGTCGAAAAAAAAAGCTAGTGAAATTAAGAATGTTGCAAAGAATGTGTTTTGAGTATCAAAGGGAAAAACTCCTAATAGTAAAAATAATTAGTGGTGGAATCGAAATATATAAGAAAATATAAAAAACAAGAAATTTTGTCATAAAAATTGATTTAGTTGTAAAAAATATGATAATTGTGAAAGATATAAAAAGATCTGTAATGAGTCTAAGAAAGTAATATGTGATGCAAAAATTTTAGCTTTTAATGATTTGCATAATAGATTATATACTAAGAAATGTGAAAGATATATATATATATATACAAGCCTCAAGGTAGTCAAACAAAGATATAAGAGTAGCACGAATTTAGTTCATGTGAAGTACATTAAGGTTGAAGATCAAAACTAGGGCTGCAAACGAACCGAGCCGAGTCGAGCTTTGGCCTGTTCAAGTTCGGGCTCGCTTGTCAGAATCGAGTTCAAACTCGTCTCGAAGCTCGTCGAGCTTCTCGGACACCTGTTCAAGCTCGAGCTCGTTTAAAAAATTTGTTTGAACTTGGGCTCGTGTTCGCATACGGGCTTGTTATTTAACGGCTCGTTTGACGAACCGAGCAGCTCGAAAGAGCCTCCTGCCGAGAAACCAAGCTAGCACCGAACACCCCCTGCCCGCTTTTTGGGTTGATTCTAGAAATTTTTTTTTATACAACCTAATCATGTCCCTCCAGGCAATGTGGGACTAAAGCGTTTACAATTTTTTTTTTTTAAACTTAGGTGACGCCATGGAGGAGAGAGAGAGAGAGAGAGCAGGCGGAATTTAAAAGACAAAAAATATATAGAGAGAGGATATGAGGCAGGAGAATCTTAATATAATGTTAAACATATTATAACGTTATTATATATTATAATGTTAAATATATTATATTTTGGATATAGTATTTATTCTAAATAGTAATATTTATAAAACAATAATAACGTTATAATAGTTAAATAATGTTAAATTTATTATAATGTTATTATAGTTAAATAATGTAAAATATCTTTTTAGTTAATAGTTAAATATTTTTTTTTAATTAAATAAGACATAATTGAGCTTTTTAATCGAGTTTCATTTTGGATATAGTATTTATTATAAATAGTAATATTTATAAAACAATAATAACGTTATAATAGTTAAATAATGTTAAATTTATTATAATGTTATTATAGTTAAATAATGTAAAATATCTTTTTAGTTAATAGTTAAATATTTTTTTTTAATTAAATAAGACATAATTGAGCTTTTTAATCGAGTTTCTTAATGAGCATGTTCACGAGCTCTAAACGATCTTGTTCGCGAACATAATCGAGCCGAACGTCAGGGTATTCAAGTTTGTTTATTTAGCTATCAAGTATTGTCAAAATTGTTCAAGTTTGTTCATTTACCTTATCGAATGAACATAAACGAGCCCTTATCGAGCCGAGCCACGAGTAGTTCGTCGAATGCTCGGTTCATTTGCATCCCTAATCAAAACGTGCTTTTATTAGAAGAATATATTTTCAACAAATGTGAATGAGATATTTTGTTAGGCTTTTCAATGAAGATTGTGAGAATACGATCGATTTTAGTGATATTAGCACCCAAAATAAAAAGAATTTTTTTTTTGTTTTTATCGACGTATTAGTAAAACCTAAGTTAGAGAGGCTTTAAAGAAAATGAAGTATGAAAAGACTGTTAGACTTGATGATACTCCAATAGAGGTGTGAAAATGCTTAGGGGATGAAAGAATTTCTTGGCTAACTAACTTTTTAAATATTATTTTGAAGACTAAAAAGATATTAGATGAGTGGAGAATGTGTATTGATTCCTATTTTTAAGAATAAAGGTCATTCTCAAGATTGAGTTGAATTATAGAGGAATTAAGTTAATGTGTCATACTTTAAAATTATGGGAGAGAGTTATGGAGCATAAGTTATGACGTATACCAATGTTCTCAAAATCAAATTGGATTCATGCTGGCTAGGTCATTTCTTGCTCAGTAGTTGTTATTTCAGTTTAGCAAAGTGAAACTATAACCTAGCTTTCTATTGAGAGGTTTAGAAGGAAGCAGCCAATTCACCAATTTGAAAAGATTTTGAAATTTTATAGAAATTTCCTCAAGCCCGAATGTTCTTTATCCCGTAGAAGAAGTAGAGAAAAGGTAATTTGGCAAACGTTGTGATAAAGATTTGCAAAAACTGAAGCTAACAACATAGGCAACACTCAACAGTAATGCAGGAGAACTGATGCATAAAACTTATTCCTAGTTGTTGCAAAGTGCTTATTGATGATGAATCTGGTTGTTGATTTTTTTTTTTCAGGGAACTTACTGAAAAAAATAATTTTTTTTCCACTAATGTATAGAAGTTCTTTATCAAAATGTTTTTGAGAGATTGATTCTGTTTCTTATAAGCAGGTATATTGAAGATGATGATGACATTAAGAAATATTTTGCAGCATTTCATCTTCTTGAGAGATTCCCAGCAGCAGTCATCATTGATGATTTTGGATATTTCTTCATCAAGGAGTAAGTTAATTCTGTCCCTTCAGGAACTTTGTTAACTGCCCTTGCAAATATTTAAATGGATAAAGTGAATTCTGTGCTGATACGAACAATGAAATCTCTCCCCTGTAAATTTCCTATGGCGACAATTTGCTTAGAATGTTGAATTCTTCAACCGTGTATTTGAAACCATTTATATGAATTGCTGCTATGGTACCATGAGGGCTGTAAATTCTTTAAAAAATGAAGAATGAAAAAAAAGTAGATTGGACTACTTTTGGGCTTCGATTGGCTTTTTGCTCAGAACAAAATGAAGGAGCCAATATGAGTTGGACCTAGCTAAGATGGAGATCAGTGTGATCAGTCCTAATCAAATTGAACTACCGCAAAATCAGATTGAATATTTGTGTATATATGGGAATGCATCTATTTGTATGCATTTGGGGTTTATCTTCAAGCACTAATGCATTTATGTAAGTGTCCTTGTATGCGTGTAGCATGTATTCATAGGGATAACAAATTGACTTGGAAATTTGAGCTAGAATTGCTATCAACAATTCAAGCATGGCCTGAATCAAGTCTTCAAGCAGCTAAATGGAACTCAGGCTTCGTTTGGGATGACTTTCTTACGGCTTCTTAAAGCAGTTTTCTGGCACAAAAAATAAAAATTTTGTGCTAAAAAGCTGCTTTACGAAGCAATAAGAAAGCCGTCCCAAACGAATTCTCAATCTAGTGGACTTTGATTCGACCTTGAGTTAAAATTGAATGGACTTGAGATTTGATTACCAACTCTCATTATCTGTCACAGTTCTCATTTTTCTAGTAAACTAATGTTTTGACTTTTAATCCCACAAGAAAAGTCATTGCGCTTCGGAATTCTCATTCTTGTGTTACCAATCATACTACTAAATTGTGTTTCAGAGGGATTGTACTTGTGTTACAAATTATGGTTGTAAATCTTGACTAGAATTTATTTACAATTAAAGAAAGTTTGATTGATTTGTGCAATTTACTTGCAGAAAATATCAGGATAAAAAGAGCTCAAGAAAGAGGGATATTGCTATGGTTCGTGCATTGGCTTCATGTCAGAATGCCCTTTCACATGCAAAGTAAGCTTTAAATGCACATATGATGTTTATCATGATCTAGAAATATGAAACATGGCAAAAGGTTTATGCATGCTCCTAAAATTTTTCTGGTTAAGACATTTTCTCCTAAACTACATTGTTGCATGTCAATTATAAAAACATTTTTTCAATTACATAATGTTAATTTATTTGCTTCCACGGTATCAATCTCTTAATCACTTACAAACCACACTTTGAGAAATATTGAGAGCTGGCCCCAATTTGGGCTGGCTTATCGCAAGATCTGGATTGTCAACTGATTAAGAATCATGAGTACACAAAGCTTGGATGGCCTTGACATTTTGGCTTGTAATTACCTAGCAACAAGGTTGCATGCACTATGGGGTGGTATTTTTCAGACATATTGAAGACTCAAAACCCTTACTAGGAAGTTTTCCATACAAATCAATCAAAATCAAATTTCTCTTCACATGGATCAAGCCTTGATCCTATTTTCCTTCCATGGTCCCTTGAAGTATCTCCAAAATTCAAGTATCTTCTCTGCTAAAATCCTCCAACATGTCCCTTGGCCCTTGATCCCACGGTCAGGATGGGGATCCGTGGGAGGCACACTTGGGTCTCCTTCCATATTCGGGTGGCTGATTTAGGAAAGATTATATTAGGGTAATTATGCATGATTCCATATTTATTTGTTTCTTTATTAAGATATCTTGTATAGATCTATAAATAGGGATAGTTTTGTATAATGAAATTAAAAGCCTTTTCCCTTTCCAATTCTCTGAAATTAACATGGTATCAGGGCAATGCATTCGATTCTTCTTCAAAAATGAGACCGTGAGAGAGGGAAAGCTGGTTCTTGCGTTCTGTTCCTGCTCGCGTGCGTCCAGGGCATCCGAGCAAGTGAGAGGGCTTCCCTTTTGCATTCTTATGCATGCGGCTCTCATGCATGCCTACCTGGGAGCCAAACAGAGTGAAGAAAAGGATCAATAGAGGGAGCGAGCAGGAACTACATGCGTGCGTGCCTGAGCGGAGACGACCGACCCTCCTGCATGTGTTGGAGCCAAACCGAGCAAGGAACAAGAGGTTGAAGAGCTATTATACACGCCATCAAATCCTCCATTCAAAGAGCCCCTTCGTGCCCCAAATCCCGTCCGCTTCTGCATGTTCCTGATCCGCTACCCTCGGATCTGGGAGATGTACAGGAAGGTCAAAGCCTCCTTCTGGACAGTAGACGAAGTCGACCTCTCCCAAGATCTCTTCCACTGGGATTAATTCCTCAAATCAGACGAAGATAGTTCACTGCTACTGTCCATTGCGTGCTTACGGTGATCAAAGAGTTGGTGAGCACACAGATAGTGAAGTACGCTACTTCCTTAAGTAGGGAGTCAATCATGGATATCAAGGATGATGCTACCGAGAGATTAGAAGCACTTTATCCTATCCTGAAGGAGCTGGTGCTTGCTAGTTCTCCAAGTTTCCACCACCAGCTTTTATTGCTAGAATTTTGAGGAATACAGGTTCCCATCACCGACCTTCATTGCTGGAATTCTGAGGAATACATGTTCGCACCATCAGTCTTCATTGCCGAAATTTTGAAGAAAACAGGTTCCCATCACCAGACTTCATGCTGGAATTCTGAGGAATACATATTCCCATCACCGGCCTTTATTGTTAAAATTATGAGGAATACATATTCCTACCACCAGCCTTCATTACTGGTATTATGAGAAATACATATTCTCACCATCGGCCTTAACTGTCAGAATTCTAAAGAATATTGATCCGTCCACTAGCCTTCATTGCCGGAATTCTAAGGAATGTTGGTCCTTTTGCTCCCTTCGTGTGTCCAAGACCGAAAAGAGATTGAGTGAGAGGGCTCCTCTCCTGTGCAACATTCAGAGTCGACCGAGCAGAAGCGTGAGAAGTCAAGCCCAGGACCTCCTCTTCCATGTATGTGAAAAAACCTGAGAGTTCCCTCTTGTGAGGGTCTAGGGCCGGACAAGCAAGAGTGCAAGACATGCACTCCGTCCTGTGATCAAACAGAGGGATTAGAGAGCTTGCGTATGCCTGTACAGGGTCGGTTCAGACGACTATTTTGCATTGGGTTGTATCCTAGCTCAATCGGACAAGAGGAAATTTGCATGCCAAGTGTTGAGCCACTTGAGGCGTGTTTTTCTGATGCTGTCCTTGATGCTTGCTGCAACCCTAAAAGCATATTTTTTTTACTGTTGTGCCTTCATTGTCAGCCTTCCCTTATAGTTGCTATTCTACCTATAACTAATGCAGCCTTCATTGTTACCCTTTGTCACCGCAATATCTGAAGTTAATTCCTCCCAAAATTTTGACCAAATGGAGGACTCTATGGTGCACCAAGAGACTTGATAACTCTGTTTTTTTAGAACTAATTACCAAGTTGGGAATAACGGATCCGTATTCCCCAGCTTGAGGGGAGTGTTAAAATCCCAACCGTTCCTTGGCCCTTGATCCCACAGCCATGATGGGTATCCGTGGGAGGCTCACCTGGATCACGCTGATCTCCTTCCATATTCGGGTGGCTGATTTAGGAAGGATTATATTAGGGCAATTATACATGATTCCATATTTATTTGTTTCTTTATTAAGATATATTGTATAGATCTATAAATAGGGATAATTTTTAATGATGAAATTAAAGCCTTTTTCCCTCTTCATATATTCGAATTTAGCACAACATTCTTTTGTGCTTTCATTGAGATGCTGGGAGGAAAGAAAAGAGTGGTTGATTTATATGTGGAGGTTCAGTTCTCTGTGATTTATATTGATCAAGTGTTATGGTTAGAGAAGGCTGGGCTCAGTTCTTGTCGGGGCAGATAAAAAACCTGCATCAAATTAGGTCCCAAAATTCCAAATTTCCTGTTGCTGTCCATACATGAATCAATCAAGCTCACCGATCAAGGAAAAGCAGCCACATGCTCCTAAATTTCTAGTTACGTCTATAAGAAGGAGAATAATATTTTGATATTATAGTGTTTCTATTTCGTCTATTATTTCTTATTTCTTCACCCTTACTTCTATGGGTGCTTGTATTATCTATATAAAGTGCACTTTGTCCTTCTCATTGGAATAAGAAAAAAGAGTTTCTCCTCTATGTTGTTTTAGTGTTCTACAAGTTTCTCTTTTTATCCCTTGTTTTTAACATGGCAATAGAGTCATCTACTTTAACCTTATTATCTCTCGTTCGTCTCTAATTTCTTCTTTCTCTATCTTAACTTCAGCACAAAATGACATCTGATAGAATCTTCTCCTCCGACGTCTTCCAACTGTAAGCAAATCATCTAGGTGTACATTGATAATCATGAAAGCTTCTTCAACGTGCAGGTTACTGGGCACAAGCTAAAATGGCAAACTTATCTCCAATGGGCCATTAGTAGGAGAGGAAATAATGATCATCTCATTAGTACAACCACTATTCCTCAAAAAGAAATCCAATGTTCAAAACATGAAGGTTTGAAAATAATATGATTAAGTATTGATTAATCAAGAAGATGGAAAACCAAATTGGCCAAATTTTATTTTCTATGAAACAACACAAGAAATATGGAATGCCACCAAAGAAATATACTCATAATCTCAGATTATGAAAACACTGACAAGTTACTTGGAATCAAAGGCGTCCTCCATGATCTTCAATAAGGTGATTTCTCTATGTGTCAATGTTATAATACTCTTAATAGATATTGACAATATTTGGATTTCTTTGAAGAGCTAGATTGGAAGTGTTCAGGGTATACAACTAAGTATTGAAAAATAGTTGAGAAAGACAACATATCAAAATTTCTCTTTAGTCCAAATAAAAATCTCGAAGTCTGACTTGGGATATTTGGAATAAAGACTTCCATTCATTCAGAAGTGCTTTATGAAGTTTTTAGGGAAAATGGTCGCAAAATGATCTTGATTAGAGACAAAGGTACTCTATTTAATTCTAAAAGTTCAGTTCTTTCCTCTCTACATATATATACCTCCAACGAAAATTTTGCGAAGAAAAATAGTCTTCATTGTTATTAGTTTATTACTATAATTGGAAGTTGTGTGGAAAATCAACTGATTGAAAACTAGGAAACAATGCCATGATTTCTCTTCAACCAACAACGACTCTAATAAACCAAAACGATCCTCCACACTATTCTCTTTCAATCAAGAGGAAATTGATATGTTGAAAAAGGTGTTTAGTCAACTCTAAACAAATTCTCTCACTCTTGAAATCGACACTAGAACAACAACTCAAAAAGGTAGTGCTATAAATGCATTTAATTACAAAATAAAAAACATTCTAGTCATGGATTGTGGACTCGGGTGTGTTAGATCATATGGCTTGGAGTGTCTTTTTAATTTCACAAAAAACATCCCTACTTCAAAAACTACAACATAAGAATTGCGGACAAGTCTTTTTCTCAAATTATAGACATTGGGACAATTATTGTTTTAAACATCATGATTCTAAATTCGTCATATGATTTTTCAAACTTTTGCAATCTCATATATTAGCAAAATTATCAAATATATGAATTTTATTACTAATTTTTTTCCTACTTATTGTGAATTTTAGGATACAGTCTCGAAGGATGGTTAGCAACAACAACGAAAATGGACTCTATCCTAACTTGAAGAAAGTGCAATCATGAAATGACATCTCCTTCTTGCTCATCCAAATTTTATGTATCTAAAAAAATATTCAACCTTTTTTATCATAAAAAAATTTAGTCATTTTACTTGGAACCATGCCAATTATAAAACACATCCGAAACACGTATACAAGTCATCCTTATAAAGCCTCTCAACATTTTTCTATCATTCATTGTGATATTTGAGGACCATCTCAAGTTACTTATGTTTTGGGGGCTAGGTGGTTTCTATGTTTTGCTAATGAGCATGCCATACCACTTGGATTTTCTTAACGAAAGATAAATATGAAATGTCATATTGTTAAGAACTACATACAAACCCGATTTAAAACCCAAACTTAAGATCTCAAGGCTAACAAT